AGTCGTAATACTCCTAAACCTATCTCACATATCGGTAGTATCATGTACGACAGTGACACGGCTGCGAATCGTCCGTTTTCTTCTAAACAGAATTTATTATCTTTACAAAGCTAAATTATTAGCATTGATTTAAGAGAGTATTCAGGGTTGCCAGTTGATATTTTTGATTTTTATTCCAACGTGCTTTTTTCTTTTTTCTACAAATTTTTCATTATTGTTCACTTTATATATATATATATATATGAACTTATCAAAGACGCCGTCACATTCGTTTAGAGTTAGAAGCGTCTAACGAACGAATTGAAAGTATTTTACATCAACAACCGTTTCCTCCCCTCAATTTTCGGTCACGAAGTACGAAAATACAAATTGAAAACGATATGACATCTCATTGTTCATTCATGTGAATAGAAAAATACATACGACGAGCATTTTTAAACTTCAAAAATTAGGCTCCCAATTGGATTGTGTTTTTTTTTTTATGCATTTCTATATATTTATAAATTCTTAATTGATATTGACAATAGAAAGTAAGTTATCATATTATTTGATTATAAAAATAGCAGGATACGGTAATAAAACATATATGTATTTGAGATATAAAATAATAAGTTTAGTGAAAAAAATACAAGACATGTCTTATAAAAATCTGACATAGAACAAACTTAAAAAATAATACATTGTTCTAAAAAACCTCAGTGTCAACAGCCAGTATTAAAACTTCAACATGAAGTCATTCCAAACTCCCCGTATAGGGAAGGCTCATGTTCGGCAGTGGATACTTAACAGCTAACATCATCATCTTGGAGATCGTAATTAATAAAATGTGTATAATTTTTGTGTGTTTAATGAATTAATTTATAAGCAGGCGGCATTTAAATTTATAAGCGATCACGATTCGAACACAGCACTTTTTGATAATAGGTACTTTTTATAATCCATAGGGTTTTTTTGTTTTATCAGTTTTAGTATAGATCGAAGTCACCATAACATCATACATTGGAAAATAAAAAAAATTATACAGACAATTCTACTTTCTAAATTTAAATATAAAATTTAAAATTTCTAGGAAACATCAAATTATTACATTTATTACTAAGTGAGTATATGGGATCATTATATTGTAAGAGTAATTGTAAAAATAAAAATGATACAAAATACTTAAAATATATTTGAAATAACCAGATAAACAGTCCATAATGATTCGTAATGATGGTTATTTTTACCGAATACTTTCGTTTATATTTGAGTAAAGATATAAAATATGTTCTCGTTTTTAATTAATTGAAAATGGCCGCCAGTTTAATTAATATATGTATATGTGTCTATTTTAAGCAATACGTACATTTGTATGTTAGTATATTATTACATTAAAAAAATAGTTCCCAATTCTAAATTAAACATTTGATTATTTGCAATACGGAAAAAAGTACGTTTGTTTTGATTAAAAAAAAAAAGTCTCACCCAATTGGACATTTAGCAAAAACGTGTTTCAGCCCATTTGACGTTTCTCTGACTAGAAGTTGAACATTTGATGTTCTATCTATTTGATTTAAGCTGCGAGATACGATTCCGCGTTCTAAATTCAAATATAATTCAAATTCCATTTATGAAATAACGCTTCATTTATTGGTGCGTTTCATTCCCTTTAAATTCAGAATAGTGAGGTGACTAGTCAATATTTATTTCATAACGTTCCAAGTCGCTTTTTTTGCGAAGCAAAATCTACTTGTTTATTTTATTTTTCTCTCGCTATACCCCCATTTAGGGTTGTATCTCACAATGGAAACGACTCGGTTGATAGTTCGAACGGCCGACTATTCGCTATGGATACAGTTGGTTGCCAAATCACCTAGATGAGTATACTATTGCGGTGGTTTTATTTTATTTGCGGCATATAAAAAGATACTGGGATGTGAGTGAATTTTTTGGGCGATATTCACTATGTGATTGCATTTTTATAATATATTTGTTTTTAGCCGTGACTATATCTACGTGACCGGGATATGTTTACTGACTGTGATAAAAAGTAGCCTTTATCCTTGTCCATCCCGTAAAGTACGTACATACTAAATTTTATAGAGATTGATTAAGTCATTAAGACGCTATAAGATAACATTGTTTTTTTTGTATATTTATGTGTAACTTAAAATCTGCTTAATCAATTATAAAAATTCTTTCATATTGGCGTATTAAAGACTATATTCCAGAGCTCCTTAAAAAACTGCATGTGTACTTTCATACATACATGAAGCTTTTTTCGCATCCTGGGGTGGGCACAAAACAATTCCGGTGTGGGCTAGACCCACCCGGACTTCCCTAAAATATGCTTATCTTTTTTCACCTACATGATCAGAAAGTAACATAAACTATGTATAACATAAGCTATAAAAAACGAGCAAAGCCAAGGCGGGCCGCTAGTATGTTGTATGAGTTTAATTTCAGGCACAAGGTGTAATGAGATTTATTGGTATACCAAATTTCATTTAAATCTGTAAAAAATGAAAATGGAATGGTAACACCAACAAAGCATGCATTAATATCAACTTATAATACATGATAATGTATTTAAATTATAAAATGCTACTTTAATTAAAGACGTCCACGCCAGGATAGAATAGAATAGAATAGAAACATTTATTGTCATACAATTACAATATAAAATATAAATAACATATACAAAAAGGATATGATGATGAGGATGTGATAGCGCTGGTTTTACAGTCCCTCTCTTAACAAAACAACCAAAGTGCAGAGTATTTCTCGATACTAATTAAAAAAAATACTAATATATGTATACATATACACACACACATATACATACACACACACACACACACATACATACACTCATAGGTAAAATATCATATTGAGGATCAGATACTCTCTCTCCATTACTGAACTAAGACCTCTCTCAATTCAGAGTTTTTACCAGTACATAGTTCTTAGGCAGATATGTTGGCGACAACAGCCAGGCTTTGGTGACGTTTTAAGAGGGACGCTGCTGCCCATCCCTAAATAGTCTTTCCTGCCATGAGTAGCAACTACTGGCAAAACTCCCCCAAACAGGAGGCCTATGTTCAGCAGTGGACAGTTAACGGCCGATATAACCAACACAATTTGGGGGGAAAGGATTGTTAGTAATGAGGAGTTTAGTCCCCATTGCTATCAATATACCCTATCAGGTCGACCTCCACGCGGTTCCCCCTGGAAACTATCGTGACCAATTTATCATTGAATTCGTCACAATGGGCTAACTGACCTACCTTTTCATCCTCACCTATCACCGCTCATTGGTACCCCGCTAGTGTATACCGATAGCGTAGGCGGGGTAACCATGCCATTTTCACGCATAAAAAAAAACCAACAAAATTTTTACGTTATATTTTATTCCTTTTTTTGTATAAAATATTTCTAAAGTCCCTTACTTCTTACGGTTACGGTATGGAAAAAACCGATGGTTCTATAAGAGAAAACCGATATGACCCTTTTTAAGAACAAAAACCGTTCTTAATCCTAAAGAAACAAAGTCAAATGAACGATTACTCGTTACAATAGGAATTTACCGTCATTTTGACGAGATCTTACAAAAATAAGCCGCTCATGGCCACAATACAGGAACGTTCAACTCGATCTTGAAAAATAATAAAAGACTAAAGAAAATATCGCGAAAAATTAAAATGAGCTCGGTCTATGTAAACAAGGGGATGCTTTTATTTTTCCAATATTCGATCAATATTAGAAGTGGGACGCAGGAAATTGTTGGACATTGAAGAAAAAAGTGCCTTTTAATTACGCTCCGTAGCTTTGAGGGTCAGTGGAGTGTTGAAACTTGCTCCTATTTTAGCTATTCGCTGTTTTGTGTAATGCCTGTTTCAACTTACTGTTTTATGAGTTCTCGCTCTGGAAAAGAAATTGGGATATTGTAGTTTTGTTAGTGGAGACAGTTTGAATGGTCGGTATTATTGTTAGGACTCCCTGTTTCGATAGGTATAAATTTTTTGGACATACAAATTATTGTAAATGTATAAAGTTGCATTTCTTTTTATTTTTATGTTACATACCTATGTAAAGTCAAATTATTAATCTGTCACTTCTGTGATAGGTTTACATATTTAATCTATGGTAACTCTGTATATGTCAGTCAGTCTTTGTAAGTCATTCATTCAATGGTACCAACGCAACATGGAAGTATTTAGTTATTGTACTAACTGTTTAAAACAAATAAAAGTTACTTGAATAATAGTTGTTTATTTAACATTATATCTTCATAAAGTTGGCGACAGACGCAACATGTTAGAATGTAAATATTCATAATGGTTCTGCCTCCTGATTGATATATTATGATAAAACTTTATAACATTCGCTAATTTTCAATTTTTTTTTTTATTTTTAACAATGATGTTATTTCATTGTTTATCAGATGGTAAGCGGTTACTATAACTACATATGTATTCCTGAAATACCAAGTACTCCTTACCAATCCCTGATGAAAACTTTTCATGATTATTTTTAATAAAAACAGTCTAAAGCCTTTTCTTAAACGACTTTTAAAAGCAGTTGGTTCTGTAATCTTAAATATTTTTATGTGTATGTATTTTATTATTATTTCGGCGAGCTTATTTAGCTGATTCATCTCTTTTCGGTATCATGACGTACCAAGAGGTAAAGAGACTCATAGAAAGTCTTTATGAGTGGCAAGAACTCCATCGACAAGAGAGAAACTCTTACACGATGATGATAATAACGATTCTATATTAATTTTGTAATAATTAAAGCTACTTTTTGTTGTCAGCAAAGAAATTGTAGCGAAAAATACTGTTTTTTGCGAAACAAAATCGTATTTTAAATGAAAACATTTACAATATAATCTGTCTGTGAAACACCTCGTAGTTCATCGGAGCGAAATATACTCCGAAATAAACATAAATGAGATTATAGTCCCTAAAAAGGATTAACTCGATCCCTATAAGTATATTAATCACCATACGTTTACACAGGTGTCGCGGTCAACGTCGCAGCAGGTTGTGTTGCGAGAGGCGACACGCGCTCTCGCCGGCCGCTATCGCTGCGAAGTGTCAGCTGACGCGCCCTCGTTCCACACACAAGTTCGCTCGGCGTATATTCACGTCGTCGGTGAGTCGTTAGCTTTATATTTTGCATGTTTACCATTTATTCTTACAAATAAACTTTAAAAGAAATGGATTTTTTCAAAAGACAATAATAGGTACTACATAAAAAAGATACTTAAAAAAGTTAAAAGGTTGACAAAATACATATGCGAATGTGGATTAATGTAGGTATCCAGGGACTAACATAATATTGATGCCGTTAATTTATAATTAATCTACTCTACTCTTATGTTATATATGCCCCGCTCGCATTATTCTTTCGCTGTATACACCAGTATTACCGTAACTGCCTATGACGCAACATCGTCGGACGGTTGTGTCGTATTCCCGCTGATACCCATCCACGTTGGGTGGAAACCGCCCTTTTTGACCGCGTGTGAGACGCCGATTCATCGTAGCTGAGCGTATTTTGTTTTCCTATCATCTATCTACGCTGAATAGACCGTGATAAACCGCTGATAAAGTCCACATCCGCTGATCTCAAGACGGAGACGATCTTTGGCAGAGAAGAAGCGCTGCAAAGATCTGGATGCAAGGATTGTCGTCAGCAGAGACACAGAGGTACTTACTAATGGATGCAGCTTATTACGTCACAGCTAAAGGTCAGGCCTCGTCTTCATTAAAGTATATCTTTGGTATTCTGAACCATATATAGGTATACATAACCATATATAGACATATACAGCTCGCAGTACGTTTATTAAGAACCTAATATTGATTCCATATTAGGTTCGTAATGTTCTTTCTCTCTGTTGAGTTCTCTGGAACCGATGTACGTGCATGAGATGACTTATGTAAGTACAGGAAGCAAGAGATGTATGTAAGGAAAGAGGTCTTTGGCGCTTACTTTTCTCTGCCTATGTCACAAGGGACTTGGCGTGAAGATAAATAGATAATTAAAAAAATTGGATGTTAATGGTATTCAAGGTTTACACGTAAAAATGAAAAATATCGTGAATATTGATTTATATTTTATGCCAAAAATTTTAATGTAAATTAAAAAAAATTGTCTTTCTGTGTGCTCAATAAGGCATTATAAATATAAAGTGACACTACTGTTATAACCTTATCGTTACTGGCACTGTTGTATGAATAAAGGAAAACTACATAGTGTTCTATACAATGATACCTACATCTATATAAATAAAACAAAGTCGGGTTATTTACACCATTTATAATTGTAGAAAGGCTGGAAAGATTTTGGTGATATAGGATTTGTTAGATTCGTCTCCATCCCGAATAGTAAAATGATTATTAAAATATCAGAATAGAAAAAAAAAAAAACAGAAAAGAAATATTTTCGACTATTAGGCGGTACGAAGTTCGCTGCAACTTGTAATATAACTTAGAAAAAAAAAAAAACATAATCTCGTTATATAACAAAGCTGATACGTTTGCTCCATCCCGAGGATCAGCGGATGAATCGACCAATCGCTTGGAATATATGTTTTTATAAAATTGTGTGCTAGAAGCAATAGTAATATCTTGTAATAGCATTTGATAGAGACTGAGTTTCTTATGAGACATTTCTTAAGCTACATTTCAAATTAAAAACTCGAGTAGCATCAAATTAAACTAAAACCTTTTAATAATATTTATTGACCTTATTTTTGAATGATTATATATATATATATATATATATATATATATATATATATATATATATATATATATATATATATATATATATATATATATATATATATTTGCATGATATTGGAATGGTAACTCTGGTTGGTATATGCTGGCGGGGCACTAATGAGGGATGATAGGTGAAGATGAAAACAGGCTAGTTAGTCCATCATGACGAAATTTCACAAAAATTAACCATAATGGTTTCCAGGGGCGAACGTCTTAGAAGTTGACCTGATAGGGTATATTGCTAGCAATGGGGCTGTTAGACTCCATTACTAACAATCCCTTTCCTTCCTCCAATTCAAATCAATTACCGAAAGTATTTAAGCACTAGCTTTCGAACGGTTGCATTTATTTGGCAAATTATTTTTTGGTGGCGTTTGAAATTATCAGAACAAGTTTTTGTATGAAAAAAAATGTTTGGAAACTTGTATAGAAAAGCGAAAAATAAGTACACAAGTGCGAAGCCGGAGCAGGTTTCTCAAAAGCATTTTCTCCTGCCAGCGCTCAGTCTGTTGAAGGAATGAGCTTCCTGCCGAGGTTTTCCTTAGAGATTACAGTGTGGGTTTTTTCAAAAAAGGTATGTTAAGGTTTGTTTAGGATCGACAAAATGCACGGGACAGGCGTGTTGCAGGCGTCTATAGGCTACAGTGACCGTTTATCATCAGACGGGCTGTATGCTTGTTTGCCACCTTTGTGGTATAAAAAAGGCAGTAAGTTTATGGTAATATTACTACTTTTGAAATGATAAAGTACATCATCATCATCATATTAGCCTTAAGCTGTCTATTGTTGAACATAAGCCTTCCTTAGAATGGCAAACAAGCTGATGGCCCACCTGATGGAAAGTGGTAACCGTCGCCTATAGACATGAGTAGTACCATGGACATAACAGAGTATTCTGTTTCGCCTATGATACCCCCCATGCGTTGCCATTCCTGAGGACTTAGGTGTTATTCCTCTGTACCCTGTAAATTCACTGTTATATCCCACTCTTTAAATCGAAACACAGCCATGCAAATACAACTGCTTCAAGTTAGAAACACGAATGAGACAGAGGTGCCCAAGCAAACGACTTTTATACAAAGTCTCTCTCTGGTAAATTTGGGTTTTGATAGTAGTTACCACGTTTGGCAGACGGATTGGCAACTGCAGTTAGGTTTTGGAGATACTTTAAGAGAGACGCTGCTGTCCCGCCCTCGCCCTCTCTTAGTCGCCTCTTACGACACTCACGGGAAAGGTAGGGGTGGCCTATTTTATGCCGGGGCTATACGGCTAATTGTATGTAGGGTAATGGGAATGTAAGGTAATTACAAAAAAAAATGTTCTGAATATAAAATAAACGAGTGTAATATAATAAAATAGACATAACGAATATTAAAATATTTTCAATACTAATACCGTTACAGAATGAAATAAAATAAAAAAATTCTTTGTACATTTTAAATTTGTATGTACAATTACAGAATGAACATACTCGTAAATGAAATTAAAAGGAAATATCTCTAATACTCTTATATTTAAAATGTTATAATGCTAAATATAAAAATTATGCATTATTCAGAATAATTTTAATATATTAACATTTTAAATGATTTTGGAATTTACGTACAATATTAATTTAAAGTCATGCTATTGCCGTGTGGTCCCGGAATAGAATGGGTCATCCCTTCCTTTCCTGTGGGTGTCATAAAACGACTAAGGGACGGCGAGGGATGGGCAGCAGCGTCCCTATTGAAGCATCGCCAATGCCTAACTGTGTTTGCCAACCCGCCTACCAAGTAGGGTAATTACTGGTAAAAGCCCTCTTATGGGGGAGGGCTATGTACAGTGGTCTATTAAAGGCTGATATGATGATGATGATGATGAATTTAAAATCATGAATATTACATATTTACGTAGATTAATTATTTTCTGAATGCCAAATGAATGGTATTACTTTGGCTCTTTGTGGAAATATATTGGATTAAATTTACGTTATAAATATATGTACTGATACAAGCTTTTTTTTATATTATCATATATATATTATTATATATATATATATATATATATATATATATATATATATATATATATATATATATATATATATATATAATGGCAGGTATAATAATAATAATATCCTATATGGAAATGAGATCTATTTATCAACCGACTTAAAAAAGAAGGAGATATTCGATTCGATTTTATTCTTTATATAATATTTATTTATCTCATAATGCCGTTAGTCGTAAACTGATTTTGGAAGTTATTTTTTATCTAAAAGGTTATATTTAGAGAATATATTCAGTGATACTTGTTTGTCACCACAGTGGTAAAACAAAAATAACTAATTTTGCTACAATTGAAAATGGCTTTTTTGTGGAACACAATTTCGTTTTATTTTATTATCCTGTTTAATAGACTACAAACTAATGGAAACATATTTTCAAAGTACGTAATAAATACACACATACATACGTAGAAATTTATTCAAAACAAAACAACACATACAGCTGTATGTCCACTTTCTTTCGTCCAATAAAAAAAATATATAACTAGTAATATTCCTACAACTACACAAGAGAAGGATAATCCCATAAAGCGGGAAAAAACCAACAATAACACCATCAATATCCAAGCGGACATTTGCATGGGAGATATTCTATCGATTGCGGGAAGCTGGCTCATCACAAAACTAAGCTCATCGATAACGTAGCGGGTAAACATGTCGGGTTAGATGTTTGGATAGTGAGCTTGTTATTTCGTGTTAGTTGCGATAGATTAAAAGCATAAAAACGTAGTAATTACAAAAAATACTTGACAAATAAGAGTTATGTATTTTTAGGCCAAACCGATAATTTATTTATTTATTTAACTCTTTATTGTACCTTAAACAAAAATATACAATGACAATTAAATAATTCAAGTGAAATACAGTAACATAAATACAGATTGAAGTATACACGTAAAGATACAAAAGGCGGTCTTATCGTTAGCGTAATATTTTACAGACAACCTTTGGTTAAAAGAGAACAGATAGAAGTGGGTAGGTGGCATAAAAGCGAATTAAAAATTTTTTCGTGCATAAAAAACGAAATATATTATAAGATATATAATTATAAATAGATAAGATTTAATTCTAGAAAGATAATTTGCGTAAAATTCATGCATGATTTTTTTTAATTATGCAAATTTGATATCATGCGTTTGGATACACATTATTTGGGGCTTTCATAAGGCAGTGTCATTAAAAATTCACCATTTTTGAAATATAATAACTGTGTGAGTCAACATTCGAAAAACATCTTTGACACTCGTACGAAAATATAATATAATTCGAATCCTATTTCAAAGTTTAGAAATCGGCATGGTTCGTATTCACTC